TTATTTTATTTTATTTTATTTTATTTTATTTTATTTTATTTTATTTTATTTTATTTTATTTTATGAGCATGAACAGGGGGAGGGGTAGAGGGAGAAGGAGAGAGAGAATCTCAAGTAGGCTCCAAGCTAGGCACAGAGCCCAATGTAGGGCTTGATCTCATGACCCTGAGATGATGACCTGAACTGAAATCAGGAGTGGGATGCTTAACCGACTGAGACACCCAGGCACCCAGAAAGCAGAACATTCTCATTAGCAGCTGTAACCAAGGATGAAAAGCTCCTTTCTTCTAGAAGTTCAATGTAAGGTGGAACTCACTGATTCAGACTAACAGCTATGACTGGGCAAACCAGCCCCAGACAAATAACAAATGTGTTAGTTAGTGAAATGAAATGAATATAGGAATGGTGCAAGAGTTTTTGGTGTGGTTGTGTGGATGACAAGTTCAGACAAGATGGATTTTAGTGGGGAGTGGAAAAGGGTAGGAAGTCACCATCTTGGTCCAGCTTATTGGGAAAGGCTTTGTGAGAAAAGTCTGATTTTAGGATTATTTGAATATCAGAAGAAGGAGGTTTTTGAGCTAGCCATGAAGGGGTGTTTCAGGTATAGGATGTGGCCTAAGAGAGAGTTCCAAGGACAGACAGAGAGGGTCTCACTACAGAGGAGAGGAGATACCCAACTACAGCCAACATTATTCAGAATAGGTAAGGAAGGACTAAATCACTGGTCTATAATGAAAGACAGGTGGGATCTTTGGGTGAGGCTTCTGGAAAGTTGGCAGCAAAAGTGAGTCTTTCAGAAATGCACAAAAATATTTCCATGGGCATTGGCTCAATTAGAGTGAAGTGCAGGAACTTGGAGCCATTCCAAAGAGGGCAGGGGTTGAAGCCCTCATGAGGAAAAGCCAAAGAGATTGGGAACTAGTTAATTTGAACAGCAGATGGTTTAAGAGAGACTTAAATTTCCTTCATTTTTTTTAAGACTCCTGAACAAAAACTTCTCTAAAGAAGATATTCAAATGGCCAATAAGCAATGAAAATATGTTCAAAATCATTAGTCAAGGAAATGCAAATCAAAACCACAGTGAGATACCATTTCACATCCACTAGGATGACTAAAATAAAAAAGACAGAGATGGGTGCCTGGGTGACTCAGTGGGTTAAGCATCTACCTTTGGCTCAAGTCATGATCCCCTGGTCCTGGAATTGAGCCCCATGATTGAGCTCCCTGCTATGCAGGGAGCCTGCTTCTCCTTCTTCCCCTCCAGCCCCCTGTGCTCTCTCTCTCACAAACAAACAAATAAAATCTTTTTAAAAAGACAATAGTGTGTTATCAAGGATATGGAGAGTAGAACGTCCTCCATGGATGGTGTGAATATAATCTGGGGCAGCCACTTTGGAAACAGTTCGACAGTCCCTCAAATGGTTAAACATGGAGTCTCCACGTGACTCAGAAATTCCACTGCTCGGTATGTGTATACGCACGAGAATTGAAAACATATAAGGGGTACCTGGATGGTTCAGCCAGTTGACTAGGCGACTCTTGGTTTCAGATCAGGTCATGATCTCGGGATCATGATCTCAGGGTCCTGTGACTGGGCCCTATGTCGGGCTTTGTGCTTGGGAGGGAGTCTCCCTCTATGCCTCCACCTGCTCTCACTCTCTCTCAAATAAATAAATCTTAAAAAAAAAAAAAAAAAGGAGCACACAAGAGAATTGAAAACATATATCCACAGAAAATCTTACACATGAATGCACATAGCAGCCTTATTCACAGTAGCCAGAAAGTGAAAACAACCCAAATATCCTTCTGCTGATGGGAGGGTATATTTATGTAGTATGTCCCCACAATAGCATATTACTCAGGAATGAAGGACTCACACATGGCACAGCATGGCTAAACCTTGAAAACATTATGCTTTGTGGACGAAGCCAGTCAAGAAAGACCACCTTGTATATGGTGCCATTTATATGAAATGACCATATAAACAAATCTATAGAGAAAGAACAGAAATTGGTGGTTGCCTAGGGTTTGGAGGGGAAAGAGGAGACTGGGCAAAGTAAGGACTGACTCCTAATGGGCACAGGATCTCTTTGGGAGTGGTGAATGTGTTCTAAAATTGATGTGCTCAACTCTGTGAATATACTAAAAATCATTGAACTGCACAGATAAGTGGTATATGACTTATATTCTATCATATAATTATATATTTTCAACCACAAAATCAGGTTTTAGCCCAGTACAGAACAACCAGCCTATAAGGAAGAGACCTAGTATTATGGTCCAGCCAACATTGCTCAGAATCTCTGTCTTATTTTCAGAGTTCACCAAGTTGGGCTGCACATAGCACCCCAAAGTCTATGGAAACTTAAGCAAGTCTGTTCCTAAGAAATTTCAGAAGGTCCCTTATGGTGGTATGCTAGTAAATGTTTAATAACCAACTCTCTGTTGGGAAAACATATATACTATTTCTAGCACTGCCAATTTCCCTGGTGTAGAAATTCCCACCATGGACAATTTTAAGCTGCCAACATGGTATCACTGAATGGATACGAGATATAAAATGGAGACGAGAAAGGTGGTAATATACCATCATATAGTATTTCTACCATTCCAATACAATAGATGTAAATAACCTTAAAAGCATAAGCAATAGCAAGATATAGTAAAATAATTAGGAAGCGAAGAGTTTCAGTCATTCAATACCTTCTATAAACAAATAGTTTATTAAATGGTAAGCTTATATAATTAATTTTAATAATGGATGATGACTTGGCAAAATTTCCGAAAATACAACAACTGGCTCTCAAGAACTGATCCAGTTGGCTCCAGCAACCACTGGTTCCTTCAAGTGTCTCAGTCTGTGGCTGGTCAGAAGAAGAGAGAGACAGGTGGGCAAAGTTTCCCCTCTCACCACTCCTACCCCTGCCTGCCCCCACTGTTAACAAAGCAGGATGCCCTGCCTCACTAACCCAGGATCAGGCAGCTCCTGGAAAAGTGTAAATCAATTGGGAGTTTTCTTTTTCTTCGTATTTAAATAAGATTTCCAGCTTTGACCATATTCAGCTACACCCCCACCTAATATCCTGCCCATGCTCCCAGAAATAAGGGAACTAGAAGGAGGCAGGTAGGGACAGCAGTAGGTGAAATGCCTTTGCCACACTCTTTGGAAAGGTAATGTTCAGGTCTTTTCTGTTCACAATGAGTCAATTTCAAAGTCAGAAGAAATTTGACCTGAGTCAACCACCCTCCACCCTAGAGTCCAGTGAAACCCATCAGAATGGAATTTACATGGAAAATGCTACAGGCATTTTCAGGCTGACAGCTCAAGGTAATGTGTTTAGAACAGAATCCAGGCTTGTTTTGCTGGTCTCTTTTCTTTGTTTGTCAAAACGAATAGAACCTTTTAAGATAGAATGTGGGCTGCCCAGGGCCTCCTAGAAAGGCAAGGGTAAGGGTGCTCTTCCTCCGTCTTCCCCTAGTGGGCTGGGATTCCTCCCCCACCCCTGAAGGACTCGTCAGCACCTCCTCTGTGTAACCACAGCTTTTTGCTTATTTTTCCATTACGGCATGCAGCTGGCAAGTACGTGCCGAGCACCCACTATGTGCTAGACTACTAGAGCTACAGTCACGAAATGCCCAACTCAGTCTCTGTCCTCAAGGACCTTAGAAATGTGGTGGAAGAATTCATCACCTTGTTATGGCTCCTCCTGCACATGTCTGTGTCCGGGACACCAGGAGCTCATAGGGGACACCAGCACTGGTCCTCAGCCGCCATGGACACTCAATAAAACCTGTCCAACAAATGAACCAGTTCTATAGAGCCCTGACTATTCCATAGGCCCAGGCCTCTGAAAGCTTCTCATGAAAATCTACCCTAAAGAAAGCTGAAACTCTTCCGTCTCTCAGAATTGGGACACAAATTCCCAACTGCCATCTTCCCCCTGACTTAACTAATGTGTCCTTCAGCCATGAATTGCCTTCGTAGTCACAGTTGAATGAATGAATACATGAATCAGTAATTTGCAAGCAGCTTCAATTTCTGGGTCAGAAATACCCTGAAGAGAAAGCAGAAGGATTGTGCAAAAGATGTTTTAAGATTCCTGGAAGTTGCCTGTGATGACTGCTGCAAGGGAGACTATTTTTAACCAGACATTGCATAAAAATTTAAGATTTTTTTTCTTTTTTCCTTCTCCTTCTTCTTCCTTTTTTTTTTTTTTTTTACAAAATAGAACGAAGACAAAGGGGAACCAAGGAACAGATGGGAATTTTCCAAAGGCTTTCAGCTATGCCTCTGCATCATCTGCATTGCTGTAAATAATACGGCACACAAAGACAAACACACGGCAAGGGATGCATAAACATTCTGTGCCTAAACACGGGCTCACAGATGTGCACAGCCATGGATGCCCAGGAGGACAACTGATTTCTTCTGGTTTTAACAAATGAGATCTTGAAAAAAGAAAAGTATCTCTTAAGTCACGCCAAATAATGATTCTATAGGCATCATTCGTATAAACTGACCAGGATTTTGTTAATTACATATATCCTCCTGTGGTATCTCCTTGATGACTGATTTTCCACAAATCGAAGTGCCCCCCCACCCCAATTTTGGAACATAGCTTATCTGATGCAGTGAATGCCTCCTTTCATTGTAGAGAAATAAGATGGAGAAGTCAACTGTTTATATCCTTTTCCCAAATAGCTCTACACCCAATACAAAAATCAATCAGAAAACTGAGATACGAATCGATCCATATAACTTCATGCCCAATTCCATGAACTACTATCCACCACAGACAGTCGATAGTGGTAAGAATTGCCTCACCTTTAAGAAGTGTCACCTTTGTGCTCAAAGATATGGCCTTAGATTCTGTACTTCTGCTCGGAGGGACCTCACAGATCTCTCTCATTTCATAGGTAAGAAACTGAGGCCTGCCAAGGTTGTGACATTAATGTGAGTCCAGCAACACCTTTCATTAAAGCCTGTTTGCCTTTCCAGGTCTCCTCTCCATCTGTCTTCCTGTTTGTTGTGAGAGGCTGACCAAATATGAGTTGCATCTCAAGATGTGGTCCCCAGACCAGCAACATCAGCATCACCTGGGAACTTGTTAAACAAGCAAATTCTCTGCCCCGCCCCCCCCAGACCTACTGAATCAGAAACTTGGAGGAGGGGCTCCAGCATACTGTGTTTGACCGAGACTTCCAGGTGAGGCTGATGTTCATTCAAGGAGACACGGGATAACATGGGCTGGTTCCTTAAACATCTGGCTTCCAGCTGGGCCTTGGCCAGTGGGAATCCTGGCAGGAGATCCCAGAAAGAATAAGGAGAGAGTGAAGGCATTTCCTCACCCTCCCTCCGCCCAGGTCACCTTCCTGTGGGGTTGTCTACCACTGCAAGTGTCCCTGCATCAAAGGTCACTGTAACTCTCAGGAGAGCCTCTGAGCCACAGGACTCATTCCTTTTTGAACCAGTAACTGCTTCCTCCCTTTACCCTACAGGTCTAGGGATGGTAACAGTCCCTACTACTCCCTCCAGATTCTGCTCTATTTTTTGAGATTCCCCCACCCATGTCTTTGTAAAGGGCTGTGCTGGGCATGGAAGCTGCTTAAGATTTTCTCTGTGTCCTCTCCCCCACAAAAAAAAAAAAATCTTACCACTTTATGACCATTTTGAAGTGTGAAGCTCAATGGCGTCAACTACATTCACCCTGTTGTGCAACCATCGCCATGATCCATCCAACTCTTTGCATCTTGCAAAACTGGAACTGTCCCCACTGAACAATAAGCCCCTATCCGTGACCTCTAGCCCCAAGGAAACCACCTTTCTACTTCCTGTATCTATGGCTCTGATGACTTCAACTCCATGTATCTAATTTGAATCACGCAGAAATTGTCTTTTTGTGATTGGCTAATTTCACTTAGCATAATGTCTTTAAGATTTATCCATATTGGAGCATGGATCAGGATTTCCTTCCTTTTTTAGGCTAGATAAAATGTCATTGTATGCAGAGACTGCATTCTGTTTATCCATTCATCCATCAGTGGATGCTTGGGTTGCTTCCGCCTTCTGACTCTTGTGAATAATGCTGCTCTGAACGAAAATGTACAAATGTCTGCTCAAGTTGCTGTTTTCAGTGCATTCAGGTACCCAGAAGTGGAGTTGCTGGATCACATGGGAATTCTATGTTTAATTTTTTTAAGGAACTGCCAGATGGTTTTCCAAAGCAGCTGCCCCATTTTCCATTCCCCGCAAGAGTGCATGAGGGCTCCAGTTTTCCACATCCTCACCAACTCGTGTTATTTTCTGCAATTTTTTTTTTTTTTTTTTTTGTAGTAGTCATTGTAATGGGCATGAGATGGTATCTCATGGTGCGGTTTTTCTTATGCTCTTTCCTCTACCTAGAATGCCCCCATATATGCTTATTTAATATATTGCCCAGTTGAAATTGATCTCTTCCTTTATACTTTGTACTTTTATTGTAGCACCCATCATGCCCTCTCTTCTGCTCTCAGGTTTTTTCTCTCTTCGACATGGATGCCAGTTCGGGCAGGACTGATGCCTTGGATTATTCATCTTTCTCTCTCTCCTTGCAGTAAACCCAAGGAACTGCACCCTGTAGGCTCTAAAATCCTGAATGATTTGAAATGCCAGCGGTCACCCAATTAGTGGCAAAACCACAGGCCCCCCCCACAGGTTTCCTAACCCTCTGCCAGATGCTCTCTCTGCTGCCAAGCACCAGTGGAACCTCATTCACAAACAAAACAAAACAAAATTGTGTTGTGTTTGGAAACGAGATCTGGCTTCCTGACTTTAACGACTGCCACTCAATTTCTGACTGAACATATTTACAATTATAAAAACCAACGTCGTGTCCTCAAATACACAGAACTTGCGCTGTGGTTCACAGAGACTAGTGACTGGATTCCTGGCAGTCGGCTCCAAATTACAGGGCCACGTGCTGCACTAACCACATGGCCTTTAGACCAGTTAGAAGCAGATGTTGTAGTTTTCCTCATGACAGTTTGTTCTGGTGTGTTCTGTCTTAATCCTGATGGGTTTTAATGGGCTCTCTCTTTTTTGAGCAATGGTGCTCATGCCTCCCTCTTCTTTGATAACAACATCAATGTTCTCACTGAAAGCCCAGAATGTTAAAGGGTAGGAAGGACATTTGATCTGGTGTTCTGGATTCTTTTGAGATGTAAGGGCCTAGCCTAAGAATCTTTCTTGTGTCTGCTCACTTTCCTCCAATCTGGAGGATGGATTCACCCATTGTTTTGCCCACATGCCAACTCTCTTCACAGTTTTAACCACAGGAGATTCCTAGAGATTATGACTTAGGCCGCTTGCCCTGTTAAGTCTACCATAGGCTCCAACGACCACTGATATCTTCAAGCAAGCAGCTCTTCTTATCGCTTCAAGGAAGAGGCCCCCCTTTGGGCACTGTAACACCAAGTGGGATGTAGTGAGATCACAGGATAAAGGCCACTTCCTGGCTTTAGTCTCTTTGATTTCTTCTTTAGAGAATCTTAAGAGGGAAGCAGATAGAGATGGGAAAACCCATACCGCTCCTTTAAAGGTTTTCTTGGGGAACTCACCACTCTTAGCAGGGCTTGAGTCAGTCATCCTGAATTCCATAGTCTCTTTGAATTGGGTTGTGGTAGTGTTAGAGGTTACTTAGAGAAATCTAATGAACTTCCACTCAACCATTTCCTTCCTACTTCACATTGTGGGACCTGTATAGTGAGGCTCAGCATCAACAGCCAAAACATCTCCATTGTGTCCTTTCCATTATAAGCGAATGAATCATTAACTGTTGTTTTTGGAGGCATATCTTGATCCCTATGGTGGGTGCTGCTGTCCTTCCTAGAACAAGAATTCCTGTCAGTTCTTGTCCCAGTGGGAGCACCACACATCTCATCTGTGTCTTGGAGAGATAGAGCATGACAGGGTTTTTCCAGAACTGCGCTGCTATTTTTTATGAAAATCTCCAGACTTTCTCTTATTAGGAAAACTGGCTTTTACCACCAGGCTCCCTCCTCATGAGGTGTGCTGTCGTGAGACAATTTGAAGCTTCATGGGACACAGATTCCTTGTCAAAGCCTTCTCACTGTGTTTGGTTCTTGCTCTCATCCCTATAGGTTTGACCTCAATCCAGAAAACAAAACAAAACAAAACAAAACCATGGGGTAACTGCTATCATATGATTTGAAAACACACTGATTTGGGGTCAAGTGTAACTCAGATCTGTTTACTTTCTGTCCCTTCATTTAGCTGGAAGTCTAAATAAACCACAATAACAAGATCATCTCACCATGAAGGGGCAGGAGAAAGAGGGAGGTATTTGTAGTACAGGGGTTAAGAGTGAAGCCTTTGGAATCCTGTCACATGAGTTCATTGCTTGTCTCTGCCATAGTTGTGGGTTGGTGGGCAGGTTCCTTGACTCTCCAAATGTTCATCTGTAAAATGGAGATATCATCTCAAATAATCTCCATTAACAGTCATGCTAAACTAATCCAGGGAAAATATTCAGTGCAGTATCAAACATGTAGTAAGGAGAGGATACTGGATTGAGCCAATATGAAGTTACTCGTGACTTAAAGAGTGCAGCTTTAATGATGTGATATGGTACAAGAGGCCATTTCCAAAGCACTGTCCTATGGTCTGCTTTGATCCCTGGAGCATGAAGCAGAACCCTCAGGTTGGTTCTCAGTCCCTCAACCCTTTCCTGTTCTTGTTTTATTTATCAGGTTCCTCTATCGTCCAGACCTGCCCTGTCCAAGCTCAATGTCCTCCTCCCTGTGTATCCCATTCAGGACCTGATGGGTGAAGCCAGACAAATGGGGAAGCTGTTCCAAGAAGATGAGTTCATACAGTACCTTGAAAGAATGTGCCAGTTTCCATGAGAGATACTGGAGAATATAACACTGAGCTAGGCAGACATGATCTCTCACCATATGGAGCTTACATCTTTGGCTAGAGGCAGACATGGTCACTCTGTTCTAGCTACATCACCTCCTGCTTCTTCAATGTTCTGAATATGTCAATCACATTCTTGCCTCAGTGCCTTTGCTCTGTTTCTGGAATATGTGTCCCCAGACATCTTCATGGCTTATTCTCCTGATTCCTGTGAGCTGATGATAAAATGTTCTTTTATCAGGATGCCCTTCTGGACCACTTCACCTAAAATAATCTTCCCACCCCTATTTCCCTCTGTCTTCCCTGCTTCTTTAGAGCACTTAACACATGACCTATTATATAGCTGTGTCTCCACTTGTTAATTGCTCATCTCTTTCCACCAAAAGGTAAGTATCAGAGGACAGGGATTTTGCCTGTTTTGTTCACTACCGGGTCCCTGGTACCTGAAGCGGTGCCTGAGATATCATGGATTCACAATAAATATTTACTGATGAATGAGCAAATGAAAACATTACTTAAAAATGCAATTCTAGGTTAATGAGCTAAGGATGAAGTCAGAGATATACAGGATAGGAGCCTAGGTGAAGGGTGCTAAACTCAGATGTGGGCGTCAAAGGCAGGGGCAGGAAGGAAGACAGAAGAAACAGATGTGCAAACACCTGGAGGCAAAAGAGAGTGAACATAGTGCACTCAAGAGTCTGAAAGGTCTTCGGGTCAGTTGGAACATGTCACAAAGGGATGAGAAGTGAAGCTGGAGGGACCAGATCATGCAGGGATAAAGGGATAAATTTTCTAGTTCTAGAATTTTACCTGCCGTATCAGTCTCTCTTGGCAGTTGAAGCAGATAAAAAACAATCGAGTAGTGCTCCAAAGTGTTGGGATTAGCATAGAAGCCATGGGTCTAAGCTAGAATGGAATGAAACAGGAAAAAACAGGAGAGTGATTAGTAGTTTAATCTTGTTAGACTAAGTTAATAAATTTCATTTGTTCATTTCTCCTTTAATATTCATTTGTTCTTTTAATGCTTTAAATATTCATTAAGTGCCTACTCTGTGTCAGTCACTGTGCAAGTCACAGGGATGATTAACCTGGACATACGTCCTACTTCCCACCC